CTGCAATGATATGCTACATGGCAATGCACACTTGTTTTTACATCGTAAAAACCCATGTCTAGTTTGTCTTGTTAGTCTGAAAATTTGACTCAAATCAAGTCTAAATTTCTGCCAGTGGAGTAAGAAAATTTTACTTGGTAAGATTCTTGAAATAAGAAAAAATTGAGTCAAATCAAGTATTTCAAGAAGTCTTACCAAGTAAAATTTCATAGTTTCTCCAGGAACTACTCTAGTTGTATTTGTTATTTCTCAGCTTCTGAAGCAGATATGGAGACAAACTGACAACCTTTTTGGATTTTATTTACTCTTTACAACAAATTAGTGTTAAAAATGTTCAGATGGGCTCAGGTCCAGTCCCTTCCTCCGTTAAATCATCTTTCATAATCCTGAAAACCTCTAAATGAGCTCAGGAAATCGTTACCTTGTCCCTGATGGTCTGCCGTACTTTTTCCCTCTCGGCCTCCATGCGAGCGTGTTTAGCCTTCCTCTCCTCCTCCTGCTGCCTCAGCGCCTCCTGTCGCTCCTCCTCCTTCTTGGCTGCATCCGGATCCTTCTCCTCCTCGCCCCCCAGCATCTTCCCCATGTCTTTGGTGGCTCCTGAGCAGAAAGTCAGTTTGCAGAGGATGAAGTGTCTCTTTAAATGAATAAAAGTTGAGTTTCGTGCAGGTTTCAGCTGTAATAAACCAGGTTCTTTCCTCTCCTGAACGTCTTTCTGAGCGACAGGAGCTGCGACTCCCTGCAGCACATCAATACTGCTGTTGTTGCCTCGCTCCGGTCGATCGTAAATACACGACCACCTGAGAGCGTATGAATTATGGATTGTCCAGCAGAGAGAAAACTTCATCTGAGGATCGATCTGCTGCCCAGGCGCTGGAGGAGGACGGCTCGGCTGGTGGCCCGCTYCTCCAGCAAACGCTTTTTATGAAGACCCAGCCCGAAAACAGGCTGAGATGGATCAYTTCTGGAAACGTGAATGAAGACCGGGGGAGAGGTTTGTGTTTTCTGAAAATTAAAGCCCTGAAAACATGACGCAGCCCTGTCGGACTCTGACACCAACCTCAGGTCAGGACTGTAAAGGAGCCATGAAAAACATCAAACCAGAGAAACTGGAGTCTGTGAGACGTGCTGAGTGACGAATGACTCGGCTCAAAAAGCTCAACTTCAGCCCTTAAAGTTAAAACAAACTAACAGAGGCAGAAATGTGCAAGAAAGAAGCTAAAATGAGCAGAAGACAAGCTGCCACGGCCTCAGCTCCAACGCCATGATTACTCTGGAGGCGGCAACAGGTGCTTCGTTTCCTGAACGCACTTCTGACTTATTGTTTGGAAAAGTAAATCATTCATTTCTAGCAACAATAATAATAATAACTAATAACTTCTTACAACTTAGCTGCAAACGAAAAATAATCCAATCWGATTTTACAAGTTTCAAAATGTGGTCAAAAAATCATTTTACCACAACGTCCCGTCGTCACAGCGGACATTTGACAAAAAACCGTCCTCACCACAGCGTGGTCTTAACCACTGAAATTAACCTAAAGATGAAATAATTCTAACATTTCCAAATTTAATCATTAAACTGCAGATTTATGTTACAAATTAACTCAAGTACATTCCAACTGTGAAAACAACAACAAAATTACATTTATAATTTTTACTAAATTTCAAACATAAAATGGCCACAACACGAGCTAAAATAAGAAGAACGTAAGCTAAAATGGGTAAAACAAGTTAAAATGAGCAGGAGAGGCTAAAAAGAGCAGAACACAAGGTAAAATACACAGAAAGAAGCTAAAGTGAGCAGAAAACAAGCTGAAATTAGCAGAAAGAGGCTAAAGTGAGCAGAAAAACTAAAATACACAGAAAGAAGCTAAAGTGAGCAATAAACAAGCTAAAATTAGCAGAACGAAGCTAAAGTGAGCAGAAAACAAGCTAAAATAAGCAGAAAGAGGCTAAAGTGAGCAGAAAACAAGCTAAAATAAGCAGAAAGAGGCTAAAGTGAGCAGAAAACAAGCTAAAATTAGCAGAAAGAGGCTAAAG